TATATATATATACTTCTCTCTTTCTCGCGATGGACGACGCGTGGACCTTTATTTCACGGAAAAGAAGGAAATAAAGCACTTTGATTGGTTCACTTTCTTATGCCTCATGTGTTATGCATTATGCAAGTCTGTGCTGTCAGCTTTATTGCGACATATGTACGTAATACCGAGCGTAATACCGACGCGCGATAATCAATCTGCAACGAGTGCAGCGTGTACATGGTGTGTCGGAGCTATAAGATGCTCATTGCACGTCCGTTTCAGAAATAGATGATCGGGAACCTAAAACGAGCACCCATAGGATGCTCTTTGGGCGTCTTTTTTAATGGACGTAAACAGGATATAAAATGGATATCAAATGGGCATCCATTTTTCGGATGGGACGCCCGTGTGTCGTGTGGGAAATATGAAACCGGAATTTACCAATAGATGGCCATAGCTGTCAATGTAGGTGCCATCAAACCGCGTCATTGGTCGCGTTCAGCAGACTCAACTGTTGTGGAGCGGATCCGTAAGCGCTCGCTGCTATTGGATGATCTAGAAGAATACACCAATAACAGCGAGTGCTCACGGATCTGCTCCACAACAGTTCGAGTCTGCTGAACGCGACCATTGACGCCATTTCCTTGTTCCGACATCTGACAAAGATTTTCAACTCACAACAATACAAGTTTCATACAACAGTATAGTTTGTAATAGCGTTGAACATGTCGAATTTTGTGGGGTGATCCCGATTGACCACGGCTCGATTGGACACTACCAATCACAGCGACAGTGCTTAGGAGCTTTGTAATCTCAAGCGCTGTGAGTGGCTCGTGTCCAATTGAGCCGTGTCCAACTGGGTGCCACTCGAATTTTGTGCCTGGAAACTACGATTTGCTGACAGCATTGATTTTCTGTTACCATTTGAAGAAAACTGCTGCAGAATCGCATCGAATGCTTGTCGAAGCTTACGATGAGCATGCTCTTGGTAAATCATAGTGCTTTGAGTGGTTTAAAAAATTTAAAAGTGGCGATTTTGACGTGAGAAACGAAGAACGTGAAAAACTACCGAAAAAGTTTGAAGACAGTGAATTGCAAGCATTGTTGGATGAGGATGACTCTCAAATTCAACAATAACTCGCGGATCAATTGAATGTGACACGAGAAGCCGTCTCCATACGTTTGAAATCCATGGGAAAGATCCAGAAGATGGGGAAATGGGTTCCACATGAACTGAATGAAAGACAGCAGGAAAACCGAAAAACCACTTGCGAAATGCTGCTCATCAGGTACAAAAAAAGTCATTTCTCCATCGAATTGTGACTGGCGATGAAAAGTGGATATAGTTTGAGAATCCTAAGTGTAAGGGCCTGCGCACAATAGAGGAACAAGAATTAAATATTAAGATTTCAACCTATCAGAAACCGTGTATTCCGATGTAATCAGTTTCTGATAGGTTAAAATCTTAATATCTAATTCCTGTTCCTGTATTGTGCTCAGGCCCTAAAAGATCATAGGTAATTCCATGGTCATCGACTGCAAGGCAAAATCGCTATGGACGGAAGACAATGGTCTGTGTTTGGTGGGATCAGAAAGGTGTGATCTATTATGAGCTGCTAAAACCTGGCGAAACCGTTAATACTGAACGCTACCGACAACAAATGATCAATTTGAATCAAGCTTTGCGTGAAAAACGACCGGAATATCAAAAAAGGCAACACAAAGTGATTTTTCTTCATGATGGCTGCTTTCCTTTTAGGAGACACAGTCGACACACTTGACACAAATCGACACACGTCGCTTTCCATTTAGAATTTTGTTCAAACTCAATCGACACACTTCGCCTCTGTTCGGGAGCAGAGTCAGAGTGTGTTTCGAGTCTGTTCAAGTGTAATTTTGATGAATTAAGTGATATTAGAACGCACCCGCAAACCA